ACTAAGTGTGGGAGAGCCAAGCTTCGGTACGAATGGGTCGGTTCGGCCGTAGTGATACCATGGCCAAACAAAAAACCGGCGTGAAACAATCACAGCGTTGTGTTTCGCCGTGTGAGTGAGGTTACCCTCCCCCATCCTTCCCTAATCCGGCAACGCACTGATAACTCCGATGTAGGTAATCCGTGTGCTCATTTTTCGACCTATATTTAATAAGAACTGTTAAGTATATACCTACTTTTTTAAATCTTCCAAACTAAAACTAATATTATAAATGCGAAAGTAACTCTGTCTGTCTACTTAACCTATTTGTGTGATATTTGGTACAGACATAGTTTAGCATTCGAGAAAGGACGAAGGATAGTTTTCATCCCGAAAACCCGGCGAGATCGGGAACTATATGGGTAAAACCAAAAATCTTAAGTCGCGGGCAAAAGCTAGTAATATATGTATACTTACATATATTCAAACATATTAAATATTGTAATATGAATGTGCTAAAATCCTCATGGAGACCCACCGCCCTCGCGGAAGGGCGAAGGGTACTGTCAGACTCTTACTTGAAACCTGACTTAAAACCAACCCGGTGTTCCTCCAATTACCCATGTGTCGGAGGGGCGGGTATCGCCGAAGCATTCGTCGCATCCCCCCGAAGGGCCTTTGACTAAATTTGACTATACTCGGAATTTTAATTCCATTCCAGATTTGACAAATTCAGTGTTGCAACGTTATGACACGTAATAAATAGTGACGTTGCGAAATTATTCGATTCGTGGAAATCGAATATTTCTGAATCGATTCTTTTCGTTTATAAATTTACTCTAGTAAACTAAGTTTACCAGGAAATAAAATATTTCTGAAGCGATAATTTAGTTTTGACAATTAATTAACGATCTGAGACTTTTATTTTGTAATTGTGAGTGAAATTAATAAAAACTGTGATCATGAAGGAACGTGACAAATAAAACAGAAATTTTATAAATTGTCGCCGTCCTCGCTATCGCTATCGCTTTTACTTTCTGTAACATTTATTATGAATCGTAGTGTCTGTGATATTTATTGTCAATTAACATATCTAGCTTACTCATTTTTTCCTCTTCTTTGACAACATGGGATACGCATTCAGACCATTTGGTAGCCGTAATTTTTTGAATGCCTTACTACACTGTTATATGTGGTATCATTATTTCACAAAATGACAGTAGGTCATGTCAAATCAGGAATCGAATTAAAATTCTAACCATAGTCGTTATATTATACATGTTATAGTACCATATAGACCTACGATAATTTAAACTTTTTATAGTGTAAACCTACGATGGAACCAAACCGGTTGAGTGAGCTTATAATATTGTGAAATATACAAGTTTTTGTGTAACTATAAAATACTTGGTGTCGCTTTAAACTTCGCGTCTTCTTTCGTTAATTAATGGCTTAAGTGTGGGAGAGCCATGCTTCGGCACGAATGGGTCGGCTTGACCAGAGTGATTCCACGGCCTCACAGAAAACAGACGTGAAACAACCACAGCGTTGTGTTTCGCCGTGCGACTGAGTTTACCGGAGGCCCAATCCTTCCCCTCCCCCAATCCCTCCTCAATCCCTAAATCTCCAAATCCCTCATCCCTAAAAGGTCGGCAATGCACTCGTAACTTCTCCGTTGCGAGTGTCCATGGGCGGCGCTGATTGCTTACCGTCAGGTAATCCGTCTGCTCGTTTGCCGAACCATTACATAAAAAAAACTTGAATAATTCGAGTTCGGTTGCCGTGTAATATGTAGTGGATTCGATTCCCGGCTGGAACCACAAAGTTCAGTTTTGAGGTTCCGTACCACGTCATAGATTGTCAGCGTGAAGTGCCCACTGATGAGCTGAGCAAAGAGTTTCATGCAAACATTATTATAAACGCGAAAGGAACTGTCTGTCTGTCTGTCTGTCTTTTGTTAACGCCTAAACTACTGAACCAATTTCTGTGAAATTTGGTACAGACAAAGACTATTGAGAAAATCCAACGTGTTCTTACAAAAAAGATTCTAATTTGTCATACATAAAAAAAACTAGACAACTTTTGATAACACTGTATGTTTGTTCAAATACTACAAGCTCAGTCGACGTTGCGGGGTAAGCGAATTAAGGTACCGGGGCCTCGGCCAAGAGCAGGAGAAGGAACGGGGGTGTTTTTAGTCAGTAAGAGTCTGACACTCTCTCTCGCCCCATCCTGATCAAGAGAAGTCATTTGATGATTTTCCCCGCATGCGTGTGTGACTTATATGTATGACCGAATTATATGTACTTTTCTATGATTATTTAGACACCACTGACATACGGTGAAGGAAAAAATCGTTAGAAAACCTGGACTTATCACTAAGTACATACATAGTATAAAACAAAGTCGCTTTCTCTGTCCCTATATCCCTATATACATAAGCTTAAATCTTTAAAACTACGCAACGGATTTTGATGCCGCTTTTTTAATAGATAGAATGATTGAAGAGGAAGGTGCATATGTATAATAACATCCATTAAATAGTGGAGACATTTAGTATCAACATTGCAGCCGTCGAAGCCGGAACGCGTCGCTAGTTTTGAAATAAATGATATGATTTTGACTTTCAAGATCGGTTTGACTTTCAAGTGTAAATAATAACATTTTTGACAAAATTCTCACACAAATGAACATCTACTACCTATGTATATAGATAAAAAAAAAACATAGGTACATATATTTTAAACGCATCACTAGACACAGACTGCACATCGTAATTAAAGAACATTATATTTTTATCCGTTTGAAGTTTAGGTATTTAATAACTAAAAAAACACTTAGAAAACCACTTGAAAACTTTTAAGAAACACACTAAAAACACTGGAATATACCACTACAACACTATTAAATTAAAAGGCTACATTTTTTATATAAATTCGCGAAGTTTCATCGCGGTTTTTTTTTTCGTCTAACCGCGTAACGCCACACGTCCGCTCTCCGCGACGAACGCGGATTGACTAGATAAGTAGGTACTTAAGTAAATAAACTACACATACATATACACTACGGCCGCCGTATCTTGGCGAGTCTGAAGTTAGCCGTTTGTCTGCGCAATGGATCTTTTAGGAACAAAATTGTTTACTGCGCAGCTAATCGGCTAACTTCAGACTCGAAAACGTCGGCGGTATTGTACACACAAAGATTGATTATGTGGATTCTGTATTTGTTTTGTGTAATAATCGGAAATATGAAATAGAAGGCAGTGACGGATGACCTGATGGTAAGCAATCAATGTCGTCCACCACACATCTTGTGATGGCTTTGCCGACCTTTTGGGGAGTAGATATTGGGGAAACGTGCTCACACGGCGAAACAACGCTGTGGTTGTTTCACGCCGGTAGTCCGTAACACCCATGGGTACACTAACACATCGAGAAACTCGTGACTTGTCGATGATCTCGATTGCTTTGCTTGGTTGTTGGGGATTGACGGATTGTGCAATTGGGATTATTTTTATATGGTAGTTCGGCAAACGAGCTGACAGATTCGTCGATGGTAAGCCATCGCAGCCGCATATTATTAGCTCGCCGCCCGACCGGAACCAGACCCACGGCCAGACCCGAGCGTACTATTAGGACGCGGCTGGTGTTAGTCTTTTTTAAAAAAAAAATACTGCTACTGCTAACACTACTTTAATGAAAAGAACTTGAACTTTACAAGAATTAGAGTAAAGGATTGTCTTAAACTCGTCAGGATAAGATATTGACAATGTGACGGCTCCGGTAGACTGAAGCCGCCACGCGGTCGCAAGTACTTTTATAGTAATCAAAAATGCATGCATTTGCAATAACCGCGGACTAATTGTGGATATAACAGTACGGCGCGTAGCATACCGCGCGCGTCTCAAAGAGCCAATGGACCACCACAGACGGGGCCCTATAGGGCTGATGTTCAGCGGGGGGGGAGAAGGAACGGGGGGTTTTAGTCAGTAAGAGTCTGACACTCCTTGTAGTAGTGGAGAAGAAATTTGATGATTTTCTCCTCAAAAAAAAAAAACCACTAGAGGAGTTACGAGTGCGTTGTTAGACTTATGGGATTAGGGTTTCAGATATTTAGGGGTTGAAGAGGGGAAACGTGAGAGTCTCATGTTCTTACTGACTAAAAGCCACCCCGTTCCCTTGTCCTGCTCCAGACCGAGGCTGCGGTACCTTATGCGCTTGACCAGCAACCCCGGCTGAACATCAGCCCTATAGGACCCCGTCTGTTGTGGTCTATTGGCTCTTTGAGGAGTTCTTGTCGGGCGGCGAGCTACCCTTACTCGCCGTCCGCAGACCTGCGCTCTAGGTGGCTCGAGATCGTCTTTTGATCCCCGTCGCCCGTAGTGTCGCCTGCTGCGGCGGCTGGAGCGGAGGAAGGAGGAGACGGCGTCCCAGTTCCTCTCGCTTAGTTCCACTGGCTCCGGAAAATGGTCGGACGCAAAAGATCACCACTGCAGGTCACATCAGTTTTTGGTTAACGTATTATTTTAGTTTTTGTCTATAGCTTTTTTAATAATCGGTTATTTTTAAATGCAGACTTTTTAAGCCTATTTAAGTAGTAAGTACCTATACGCCATTAGTATGTAAAAATCTCTTCAATACAAATTAACTAAGATCTAAATAAATTGGAGTTTCGTGTTCAAGGCGCGGCTTGATTCAGGAGATTGAACAGTGAGGTTTTTAGTCAAGAGTCTGGTGTCTCTCATACTACCCATGAGAAGTCAGAGGGTAAGAGAAGTCATTTGATGATTATCGAACCCTCAAAACACTGCACCAGAGATAATCCTAGTTTGGGGCAATAATTATTTTCTTTTCCTGTGGAATAAGGGGCAAAGGATCAGAAGCAAAAAGACCTGATAGTAAATGATCAGCGCCGGCCATGGACATCTGCAACACCAGAGGAGTCACAGGCGCGTTGCCGGCCTTTTAAGAAGGAGTGCGCTCGTTTTTTAAAGGTTATGATTATATTTAAAAAAAACTAACCTCTAGCTTCCCTCAGGGCGTGAGCAGCATGTCTCCAGCTGTTCCTCTCAGCTAGTGCCAACGCTGTGTTCCCGTGAGCATCCAAAGTGGACAGCGAGGCTCCTGATGAGAGCAGGGTCTTCACATTCTCTACGTGGCCACGCTCGGCTGCTATGTGAAGGGCCGTCTGTTTGGGGTGGTAAAGCCATTTATTTTATTGAAACATACGTTTTTTGTAAATGCGTTTACAAACTCCTACTATTACTACAATCCTGCTGTATAGCTAATAAAACTTTTCCCTCACTATTATTGATAAATTTCATCCGGCCCTCGATATAACACTATCTCTAAATAGAGATAGCAATCTGCCGTATAATAACCTTAGCCATAGGCCTAACTTTTATAAAGCAAACTACTCACAAATTAATGACTATTTGAGTAAGATGAATTGGAGCGAGCTTTTTAAAAATGCAAAGGATGTAAATGAAACGTTAACAATATTTTACAAACATTTGAATGACGCCATAAAAAAATTCATACCGTTTAGAAAATCAAAAATCAGTCAGTACCCGCCGTGGTTTGATAAAGCATTGATCAGATCTTTAAAAGAGAAAAATAAGTTACGGTTGCGCTTTAAAAAATATAAAAATCCATTGGACGAAATACAATTGAAACTAATTTCCAAGAGATGCGAAAAATTTGCCGTGAATTTATACAATAATTATTTGCGTAATCTAGAGGATGACGTTAAGAAAAACCCTAAATTGTTCTGGAGTTACATTAAAGCTAAACGCGGAGGAGCTGGCACCTACCCCCTTACTATGACAGATGGACAAATAATTACAACTAATGGTTCAGTGATATGCGATCTGTTTGCCAGTCACTTCTCTTCGGTATACACAACAGAATCTCACGACGAAGAAACTGCTGTTAACTCATCTTTTTTCCAGAAATTTCAAATGAATAGTCAATATTTGACTAGTCTGGAGATAGACCATGACAGCTTACTTACCAGATTGAAAGCGGTCAATATAACAAAGGGACCAGGTCCAGATGGCATTCCACCCATTTTTATATCTTCCTGTGCGACTGCCTTAGTGAATCCCCTACTGATAATATATAACCTATCGCTAACATCAGGAAGTTTTCCGTTAGAGTGGAAAAAAGCTAAGGTGGTGCCAGTATACAAGGCGGATAAAAAAGATGTCATTTCGAATTACAGGCCCATCTCTATTTTGTCTATATTTGCTAAGATTTTGGAATCGTTTGTGTGTTCCCACATTCAGCAATACTTTAAAATGTTTATAAGCGATCAGCAACATGGCTTTGTAACATCGAGGTCTACAACAACAAATCTGGCCACATTCTCAGAGTCCTTGATCCAGGCTGTAGATACAAATAAGCAATTTGATGTTATATATACTGACTTCAGTAAGGCGTTTGACAAAATGTCGCATCGCATATTATTCACGGAGTAAGAACAAAGAGGAGACGGCCTAAGCAACTCGGCCCTGTGACACAAGTCGGCCCTCACGTCATCAAGGTGGGCGTGGCTTACGTCAGTGAAATGTGGTCGTTCGTCCTGTGCACAACTCCTATAAAATATTCATTTTACTCGTGACAGAAGAAAACAAAATGAAGTCTTGTGTTTTATCTTGTAAAAAATACTATGATAAACGTTACGGTGTTATGGATGGCATCACTTTTCATGTATAAGTTATTTTATTCGTCATTTATTAAAATAGTTCTAGCAAAGTCTCTTATTGTCAGCGTTTCCAATTATCAATCTACGCGACACTAGATGTCGACACTGTGTATCATAGAAACAATTTTTTTATAGGTACGCATAGTTCAGTATTAGTATATTTTAATGATCGTTTGTATAGTAATTTGATCGACATGCATTCCTAAAGATCCTTTAATCGCCAAAATATTATTTATGTAACTTTTATATCATTTTATAAACAGACAGCCATCTATTGTCAAGTAGTAAAACATAAATAAAGACAGGGTAGTAATTAGGAGTCAATTACTTTTTAAGGTTTATATCGTTGATTTATTTAAGTCGCGAATGGAATCACTCAAATTTAGCGCACCTCACCGCACGCTGTGAGTGCTAAATCTTAGTGCCTGAATGTTTGAAACTGAACGACCTTATTTATACTTCTAAAGTTCCTCTTCGGTTTTTATTTCAACCCCAAATTAAGGGCATCAGGACTTGGATCATACAACTCAGATATGTATCGCCGGTAAGCCTATGAAATGCCCACAACATACTCTGTCCTTCGTACATATGATTCGTTCCATTGTTCGTTTATTTCGAAATATGTCGTCACATTAGGGCAGGTTTTGTTCGTTTTTCATGGTGAATAGTACCTATTACAGTCGTGAAGATAATTAGGATGTGTTATATATGGCATTTCGCATTAGGATGTGTTATATATGAAGAATCTGGCGGTATTATTAACTTTGGAATAGCATTTAACATACCACTAGTTAATTAGATGTAATGTTCGTTATTGTTCCAAAATATTGTTGAGTTATTGTTTTGTGTTTTTATGATCCAAAATATTGTTGAGGTAAAACCAGCGAACACGTAATGCAAATTAAGACGATTGCTGTTACATTATTAGAAGGTGGTAGGACCGCACACTCTTCATTAGCATTGCTATTGAATGTACAGGTGATTTAAAGTGCAAATTGTAATATTTCGAGAACTTCTGCTATGGCAAAAGTTTTGCAACTAACGTCAATTATTTTATGGGATGCACACATACAATGGCGAATAAAAAATCAATAGAAGTATTTAATCGAACCATGCAAAATTTACGCGGTACTCAACGGGTTTTTCGTGGTGCCCTGATATTGCTGTCAGGGGGCTTTCGTCAAACATTGCCTGTCATTCCTCGATCAACTCCTGCTGATGAAAAACCTGTTTGAAGACATCAGTTATTTGGAGATATATACGAAAATTGACACTGAACTTTAGTAATAATGTGTATTCAGCTACGTAATGATGCAACTGCCCATGAGTTTTTAAAACAATTATTAGAAACTAGCTTTTGCCCACGACTTTGTTCGCGTGGAATAGTGAATTCCTGTAGATTTTGGGTTTAAAAACTATCCTATGTCCTTTCTCTAGTTCCAAACTATATCTGTACCAAATTTCACTCAAATAGGTTCAGTAGTTTAGGCGTGACGAAAAGACAGAACATATCTAATAATAACACTCGTTATCACAAAGAACCAGTTATCAGCAGGGCATCAGCCTCTTGGTAGCATTGTATACGAGTTTCTGCTTCTGGCTACGCCCGTAACGAAATAACCCCTGTTAAATGAAAAATATGGTTTTGATAAATGTAGAATGATTCTCATTCACCAATAATAGATATTTTAGATATTTATTACTATTTCGATTAAAAAAATGCGTATCAAGATGATTCGCAAATGTATTAACAAAAAACTTTTTAAAACAACTCCCCGGTAAATTCTAAGTACGACCCTGTTGCGTTAGTGACATCTATTGTGAAATAGTTACATAACTACAAAAAGAAGTAAATTGAATGAGCGAGTAGTATTGCTATAGACCGGCAGATGGCAAATAGAAAGTGGGCGGAGTCTAATACCCCCTCACCCCGCAAAATATCACGCGGTGTTTCTTAGGGAAATCTTATTATGACATCTCCTCTTTGTTCTTACTCCGTGATATTATTAGAGAAACTGGCTGCATATGGTGTAACAGGATCCCTGCTTGTATGGTTTAAATCATACCTATCGGGAAGAGAGTTCTATGTCGTTGTAAATGGCTTCCAATCCTCAGCACACAGAATAACCTCTGGCGCTCCCCAAGGCTCCCATTTATCTCCAATTTTGTTTAATATCTTTATTAATGATCTTCCTTATATTTTGCACTTCTCTGAACCTTTTTTATATGCAGACGACTTAAAGCTAGCGCGTAAAGTCGAATCTTTTAGAGATGCTGAGCTGCTTCAGAGTGACTTAAACCGGGTTATAGAATGGTGTAACACGAATAAAATGCAGTTAAATTCAAAAAAGTGTTACCATGTCAAATATACAAGAAAAAACAACTGCATTTATTCTGTATACCACATAAACAATGACCAAGTGCAAGAAGTGGAAATAGTTAAAGACCTGGGAGTTACGTTTGACAGAAAAGTCACTTTTATACCGCACATGGAAAACACTATTAAAAAAGCGTCTAAAATGTTAGGGTTCGTACTTCGAAATTGCAAAGACTTCCGAAAAAGTGGCACTAAAATAATGCTATATTACAGTCTTGTAAGAAGTATTTTGGAGTACTGCAGCGTAATATGGAGACCTCACTACGCCACTCACATGCTAAAATTGGAACGAGTACAGAAACGTTTTATGTGGCACCTAGCTTTCAGTGAAGGGAAGGCCAAGCGCCTGCCATCTTACAAAGCTCGTCTGCAGTACTTCAAGGTACATTCCTTATCTACACGCAGAGAACTTATCGATGCCACTTTTTTGTACAAGTTACTAAGAAATAAGATCGACTGTCCCAGCCTACTAGGGCTAATCAGATTTCGTGCTCCATCTAGATATCCTAGGCATAGCATAACCCCTTTATGCCCTCCATTGAGAAGATCTATACTGGGTTCAAACTCAACGGTACCGAGATTATGCAAGATGCAATAGCTATAGTGACTTAGTGGATGTTCACCATGACAGTATTAATAAACTTCACAGAGCAATTATTAATCACCACGAATAAAAATATTATGCAGCCTCTATAATTGAATCTATAATTGAATTAATATTATGTATTTAGTATATTTATTGCATCAATGTTTAGATTACACAGACATATTTTTGTTTTAATTATCTTATATTGTAAGGTATTAATTTTTCATGTATTTAATTTGATTGTTTCATTTTTGTTATATTTAATTTTTAATTTTTAATTCCTATATTTTAATAATGTTATCCGCCTATACTTTTCACAAACATTTTTAATTAATATTTTTTTGTAGTACTTGTAAAAACATCAAATTTTACATGTATTTATTTAATCTAATTTATTCAATTCTCGAATTAATTCCTGAATTGTATCTGATTTATAGCTTTCTTAATAATTTTGTTGTTTGTTGTAAAAGTTTATTTTTTTGTGATTATTTGAAATTGTCTACCGTTTATGTTTCTTGTGCATGTGGTGTTAGTCTATAAGTAATTGTTACACTTGGTAATATAAATATTGTTTGCTAATTGTCTAAGTAAAGTGTAAACAATTGTTGGCTAACCTAAATAAATAAATAAATAAATAAATAAATAAATCCTACCAATCCTACTATCCTACCAAACCTACTTTCCTACTATCCTACAATCCTACTATCCTACTAATATTAGAGATGTGAAAGTTTGTGAGAATGCATGGATTTGTGTTTGTTATTCTTTCACGCAAAAATGGCTGAAGCAACTTGGTTGAAATTTGGTTTGTAGAAAGATGATACCCTGGATTTTTATCAACATACCACGCAGACGAAGCCATAGGCGGAAGCTAGTTTCAAATATAAAAACAAAAATCTTTTATTTGAATGTAGGTATTTTACAACAGATGTTAGATGTTATTACAAATGATCATAACATTGCGTCTTAATATTAAGTAGGTAAGTAGTAACTCGTAAAGTTAAAACTGTTCAGACACTACCAAAGAATTTTGTAATTCAATTACCTTGCTACCAGAGTGATTAATGTTCTCATCTTTTCTCATTTAAGTAATATTCTAATATTAGAAATAAGATCACATTTTAATTATTAAAGATAATAATTAAAATGTGATCTAATTTTGTAAAAGAATATGATGGAGTTGTCATATACAAGATAAAAACCTCTAAAAAAATAGAATAAAAAAAACTCTAAAGTCTGTAGTAAAAATGTTAACACACAGCAGTCTTATCATTTTATTCTATCAGTAAATATATCTCACCTTGCCCCCAGTAGCCTCATCAGATTTAGCATCAATATCGGCTCCGGCTGCACACAGCGCAGCCAGGCAGCGGCTCCTTTCCGCCAGGGCTGCCGCATGGAGCGCGCTACGGTTGGAACCATCGCGAGCATCGACTGCGGCGCCACTTGCTATTAACTCTTGGAGGAGCTCTAGATTATCCCAGAGGGCAGCCTGGACGGAGAAATTTTATGGATTATTTATTTCGTCTCTTATATTTACATATCTTAAATAATGGAAACAGCTTCAGTAAGTGGTAATAACATTTGTACCCGGGTTGTCTTACTTGTCTTCAGACTTGGTAGTCCATAAAAAGTTAAATGCTACAATATTAACTAAAAATCGCGGGTTACTCACGTTTGTTTTTTTGCCTACCTACAGTAGGATGCGCGACGTCGCGTTGCCGCGTCCGCGCTCGCTGCTCATGAGGAAGAACCCCTCTGTGGTTCGAAACTAGTAGAGCTTTCCTCAAAAACAAACGTGAGTAACCCGCGATTTTTAGTTAATTTAGTATGTCTCACGATAGTTATTTTATTTACTAAGGGCTATTTAAAAAAAGCCATGAGTATAAATGTGGAAGGAGTGATATGGAAGACAGAGGAGTTAGCGATAGCGTGACGAGTGACAGGACAAAATGGAAGAAAAAAACATATTGCGCCGACCCCAAATAAAACGTGACAAGGGCAGGATGATGATGATTTATTTACTAAGGGCTTATTTTTCAATAGTCAGATTATTGTTATCTGAGGAATAAATTTGTTGCTGTCACTGTCTTATACAAACATTGTGACGCGACAGCATCATAATTATTCCCCAGGTAACTTTTATCTAACCATTGATACCAGCCCCAAACCATTAATATAGGTATTTTTGAAACATCAAAATACATGATACAAAAATAAGTCTGTCAGTCAATTCATAATAAAATTGAAGCCAGGTGCTGAAATTTCTTCCTGATATTTTCCTTCACACTTTTGTCAGTGGTGTCTAAATAATCATAGAAAGTACCTAACTACATGTAACTGGGAAAAATCACATTGCTACTTGCCAGGTCTCAAACTATCATTTGTAGGATAGGTAATAATTATTCTTTTTTTTCTTTAATGAATGATGTGAAGGCAATTTTTTTTACTGTATATTTATAAAGTTATTCAATCAATTTTATACTATTCCATATGTTATAGAAATAAAATACTTTTGAGCAATAGAAACTTAAGATATATTTACAGGGTATAGGAGAGTGACATTTCCCTAAAAAATTTAACTTAAAAAAATTAATAAACAAAACCTAGAAGAAATTAAACATTACTAACACATTTTTATAAATAAATCTATTGGAAAGCACTTTTAGAATTCGTAACTAACATAATTACTGCATATTTCATGTTAGAATGTAGCACAGGACCTTGTACAGTTAAATACATTCACAAAACACTAGTTACTCCAATTGGAACAAATATAAACCGCTGTTTTACAGCCCAATGCCGAATCACAACAACTGTAATATTTAACTCAATATTTAATATACCTGATGCAGCAGGCGCCCTTGGAAGTTATCCTCATCCGGAGACAAGTCCATTGCGTTTGTATTTAAAAGAAATACGCGAATTGAGCCAACATTTCCGGCCTAAACCGCTCAAGCGTTGCGAAAGACACAGTAAATGAAAACGGCCGCTCACACAAAATTCTTCACTGAAACTACATTTTAAATGCACTATTGTGTGTACCAAATTATTTTTTTAACCGGCATTGCGGATGGTAACCGTTAATTAATTCTAAATAGCGAATTTATTATCGAATAAGAATTATTGATTTTGTGATGACAGCTGTGCAAAATTGACAAGTTTTGACAGAAAGTTGACTGATGATTTCGTTCAGTAATCATCTTTCTTTCTTTCTCATGCAGAATAATATTTATGATGTTTTTTTAATAAAATACTACGCTACATCTAAAAGATTAGGAAAAACCATATATAATTCATATATAAAATCAGAATTACAGTTATTTTTTGTGAACGTAGTTATTCTCTTCAGTGATTCATCCGTGAGAATGGGGTCAACCAAAATTTCATTGTTCCTTTTATGAGTCGTCTTGATAGTATCAAATAAACTTAGTTTGAATTAATATTTAGATTTATCATTAGTTCAAAGATAACTTTGAGAAGTAACTGACTAAATAATTTTGGACGTAGCTTTACAATCACACCTGACTGGCACTTTTTCTAAAACTACCCACCAAAGGTCACAATTATAAGGCAAGCGCCTACAATGAATATTTATTACACACATTGTTCAGTGTTGATTATTATAGCTGAAAGTAAACTGAAAATGTCCCGAAGCTACTGCAGTTATGATGAAGATTGGCAGAGAAGAAAATCTATACTCATTCGGAGTCTTTTTCATGATCTTCCAAGTAGGTGATATTTAATTGTAATTAGTTTTTGACTCTTCAGTACAAGGCTAAAGATATGTTATATATTATACTGTATATAATTATGTTATGCAACATCACGCCATTTAAAGCTCGAGGGCTAGGTAGAGATGCTCATATAACTATGTAACAACCACTTTTCTTTTCTACGTATTATCTACTCTACTGCGTTTTTATACAAGTAGTTGAAAGCGCACCTACTGAGCAAGGTTTCAACTCAAGAGGTGAACATAAGGTTCGATTACCGAGTCGACTTCGAGCACTATCTATTGCTGTTTATCTCAGTATTTTTGGGTGTCTCAGTAACAGCAATAAGTTTGATATTATACTATGTCTGTAATAAAATGTTCCTATAAGAATATTATCTAGCCCAATGACTTATATTCATAAACATTGATATACTTTTCTTCTCCATCAGTTTTATCTCCTGTTACCGAAGAATCAGACGACTCTTTCCCTCCCGTTAGAGCTTATGAGACCCTGGGAGAACCGCCAAGACCCTACAGTCCTCTCCCTCCACTAATAATAGAGAAAGTACCAAAAACGAACAAACATGATGAGCCAGAGGAACATTATAAGAAACTATTGATAAAAATTAAGAAAATATATCGTAGATTATTCATTTTAAATCGGAATTTAAGTAGCGATGAAGAATTCCTTAGTGACACTTCAATAACTGATCATGATGATGATTTTGATAATCCGATTGCAATGAATTATAATGATGACGATAATTTAGAAAGTCCAATACCTATAAATGATAATAATCAGCCAGCTAATGAAACTGAAGAAACTATTGATTTAGATGATAATAAGGATGATGATCAAAGTGATGTTGATGATAATACTAATTCGAATGATGAGACTGTTGAGCAAAGTTCTCATTCTAATATTTCTAATGGATATCGAGCTGATTCTGAATCTGTTGAGACTGTGATTGTTGACGTTCTGAATTATACTAAATCGACTAGTAAAGAGGCTTCCAAAGATGAATCAGTATCGATTAATTCAATGGAAGCAATTGACACTAATTCGGACAACATTGAAGGAGGTAGAAGAAGTGATAAGGTGTGTTCTAGCTCAAACAAAGAGACTAAGAGTGAGGAATCGATTTCAGTAGAAGAACCTAGGTTATTATTGACTGCTGGTCAAGAAACTAATACAAATACAACTGTATGTGCCGCAAGAATGTTTGAACAGATCGTTGCTGATATCGAAGAAATAGACGATTCAGACGATAAGTCAATTATTATTACAAATCAAGACAACAAGAACACTGCTAACAATACCACTATAGACCAAAATGAAGAAATTTTTCATCAAGAAGAAATAATTGAAATCTTAAGTGAAGAAGAGATAACAGATCGAGAGATGATTGAAATCGAAGAAAAAGGTAACAGAAGTGTAGAAAAACCAGGTTCTTCAGATAAAACTAGTAATAATAAAGAAGGGATTTATCAAAGTAAACCTTCACAAGAAATAACTGAAACCATAAGACAAGAACAACAAAATAGATTTGAAGACTTAAACGAATCCAGAATGAATATGAATCTAGCATATGATGATGAATCTGATAATACTTCTTCAAGTGATGAGGAATGGAGTGGTTTAAAAGACTCTGAAGAAGAGAACAATCAAGAACTAAGTACAAGTGCTTTAGAAGACATTGAGAACGCACAAGATTTAGAAGCAGAGGAAGAAGAAAGAATGTATGAGGGGTCAACTAAAATGATGGTGGAAAATGAATTAGAAGTCGTATCAGATATAGGTATTTTTTATTTATTTCTTATAGGATAGGTCGGCTAACGAAAATACTGGTTTACCTTATGGTGAGCAGTTTTTACAAATTACCACCATTACTTTAATTAATACCAAAGGCGTCCCCACCAGTGCGTTGCCGGCCCTTTAAGGGAATCAGGGGTTTGATGATAGAGTGTTTTGGGATTGAGGATGGTATGAATGATTAGGCCACCGGTAACCTCACTCATGTGGTGTAACACCTCATCACACAACGTGAATGTTGTTTCATCCCGGTATGTGTGGCAGTATTTGACGCTGAACGCTTCCCGCAAAAGGTTTAGGGCCCTTAAAAAACACGATGCATGGATTAAAATATAAACATATTTTATTGAAAATAACTACTTACTCATGTGAATTAACTGAGACAACCTCTTATAGTTTTGTAGCCGCGCCTCATGACTACCAATACCATATTCAAAACCATGTACCATATACCTACCTTACCGATACCACTGAATACCTTACCATACCTCAAAACCAAATACCATATACCCTATACATACCAACGTTTTTAAACATTCCGTTATCAAGAAACATGATAAACACGCTCTCAACGAAGTATTTTTTTTCAAGAAGAACCTTCTCGTAGGACAACTAGAGTCTCCTACCTAGTTCCTACAGTTTCAAGTCACAACAGGACTCTTATTCTCTCTCTAGTAAAGTTTTTTCTTTTCTCATTTAAATCACGTGAGATTGTCATTCTTTTCAAATCTATGTTCAACGAAAGTTACTACTTATTTAAAAATAAAAATATTTTCCCCAGGCTCATACTTCAGACAGATCACAA